AGTGCAGTCAAATTCGAGAAAGCTTTGGGTCCCTCCATTACCATCCACCTCTTTCTGGGTCACTTCAGGTGTGTTTGCTCTCTTTCTCTCGCTCTCTCTCTCTCTCTCTAAACACGTGCATTTTGCTGTAATATATTATATATAATATATGTTTATTCATACGGAGCTTGTTTCGTTTTGTTTTTCCGAATTTATAGTTTTGGGTTGTTCTTAATTTTATCTTATGTTGAAGACCCATAAGTTTTTTTCTTCTTTATTGTATAGAACAGTGAACTTTTTTAAAAAAATTTCGATAGTTTGTTATGCAGAGGGCAGAAAATTTTGGATTAAAAATGAAAAAGAAAATCAAGTAACTGGTTTCGTTAATGATGATTCTTCTTGCTTGGCTTTCAACCTTGAAGAAGACAATAAGGGCAAAATGGTCACTAAGAAGCAATGCATTGAATTTGTAATCAGCCATGGATGTTTATAACCCTTTCATTTTCATAGCAATAAATTTGCATTCCTTCTTCCGTTTTCTGTTTCTTTCAGGTTCCTTACACTAGTAAGTTGATGAGGAGAAGGCTGTGATTTCTGTCTGACGCTCACTGGATCTTATTAATCAATAGAATAAATGTTGACTTATATATATATATATAATATTGTATAATAATTAACGTTCTAATTGCAATCACTGTTTAGTCCAATGGTAGGATTAAAAATGACCTGGGTTCAGAGTCAAATTGTCTTCTGTATGTCTTCGTTCGGATCTTGTTTTTGTGTTGTAATGTTAATATATTAGTTAGTTGATGAGTGTATAAATTTTTGTTAAAATATATAATTGATAAATAATAAGAGAAAAAAGGGAGAGTTCTCTGCTCAGAAATCCAGTTTGCATCTGTTATATCCATTTTATTTCAGATTCTGAGTTGACTCACATGTCTAACACTGCAATCTACACTCTATCTTGTGTTATCCTGCAGTCAAGCTTAAAATGGTGACTAACCGTGGAGAAAGTTCTCCTGCTTCTGAACATGTGGTCAACAATAGAAAATGTATTGTCTGCAACAAGGATGATTTCTTACCAGAGGAATCATTTAAGAGCTTGGGAAACTACCTGAACGCACTGGCAAACACTAAAACAAGGCTCAAAGATCGTCTCTTCGCACGCTCCATCGATCACGTTGAGCTGCACCAAGTGCGTGCACGTAGCCACCACAACATGAAGAAAACACTCAACTGGTGGGATATTATCTGGTTTGGCCTTGGTGCTGTTATGGGCGCTGGAATCTTTGTCCTTACCGGTGAAGTTGCCAGGAATTCTTCCGGTCCTGCAGTTGTCATTTCATATCTCATCTCAGGTATATATATATATATATATATATATCCTTTGTCATTCTTTATCTACTTTGATCCATTCACCTATTTATGCATATATATACATATATGTTGTTTATGTTTGAGAAAATTGCAGGTATATCTGCTTTGCTTTCAGTGATATGCTACACTGAATTCTCTGTTGAGTTACCTGTGGCTGGAGGCTCATTTGCTTATCTGAGAGTTGAGCTTGGTGACTTAATGGCATACATTGCTGCTGGAAACATTCTGTTTGAGTACGTAATTAGTGGTGCTAGTGTGGCAAGGTCTTGGACTTCTTACTTTGCCACTCTATGCAACCATGACCCGAATGATTTTCGCTTGAATGTCCTCTCGATGCCCGAGGATTACAGTCATTTAGATCCTATTGCAGTCGTCATCTCTATTATGATTTGTGTTGGTGCTTGCTTGAGCATCAAAGGTTCATCAAGGTTCAACTCTGTTATGACAATACTTCATTTATTTGTCCTGTTATTCATCTTGGTTGTGGGTTTGACAAAGGTTAACCCTACAAATTTTACAGCTAGTTTTGCTCCAAATGGGATAAGGGGAATCTTGAAAGGGTCTGCAATTCTCTTCTTTGCTTATGTAGGGTTTGATGGAGTGGCAACGCTAGGAGAAGAGATCAAGAATCCTGGTAGAGATATCCCAATTGGGCTTATTGGTTCGATGTCCATAATCATTGTTG